AGAGGAGGAAAGGAAAGATCCCCGTCGACTCTTATTTCATGAGTTCATACAATGTTCCCCTTCATGAAAATGACAATCACGAACACAAAAACTTTCGCGAGAGTTCTCTCTGCGAGAACGCTCTCCTCCTCTACAGTTATTATTAGCATTACCTTGACTGCTCTCCCATTCAAGCCTTACCAAGAAGAGAGAGACGATGACTAATTTGTGACTCAGAGAGTAACACAGTGTAACGAACAGTGTGGACAAAGTAACCGATCCCACTCCGGAGTGGATGACATCCACAATAATCTGCTTGTATGTACTTCGCGTGAGGCTCACCAGGTGACAGTCCCCAACCGCTTAAAACGTTCTGGTGAGACCTGAAGGAGCGAGACGTCAAATTATTCGAAGCGCCACGTTGAGGGTGACACACTAATTCTTGCCTGTAGTCTGCCCCCCGTCCATCACGTAGCCTCAGAACGCCTGGCTAGTTCCAAGAAGAACAAAACTTAGTTGTCAAGACTCAGTGGAGAGATCGCCGTGCCACCCCGCCAAGTGTCATGCGTGCTCCGACCAGGCGGCATTGACGTCAACTGAGGCTGCCATGCGCTTCGCTAAGATCTCTTCCACTCTCTCTCACATGCCTTCTCTCCTAACCACTCGCCACGGCATGAAGACTCTCCGTAGCTCAACAGAGACAAAGATACCGCGCTCGTCTTGGAAACAGCAGATGACGTCAGTGGTGCCTAACAAGCTCGTGTCCCCCTTGCAATCCTTCTGCACGCACGCTGTCGCGCTTCCTTCCCTTCTCATGCAGCCCATCAACTCACAACACTTCTCTTTCTTGCTCGCAATATGATGTCAACTCTCGTCACCCATGCTCACAACGTCTTTCTCGCGCTTATTCCCGCTGCAACTCAATCTCTGCTCATCTGTAACCGCCTCGCGCGTTTGCCCTCTGTTGGTCTGTTCTTTCTTCCTCTCGTTGACCTCTTTTCACACACAAACACTTGGCCCCACCCTTGGTTATTCTCTCGCGCTCCCTTTTCATCTAAGTGCGCCGCTCTGGCTTGCACACGTGCTGACTTCTGAGCACCCTCCTTGTCGACCCCGCTGTTTTCTTCACACTCTACGTGTGTCTTTTTCCCCTGTTTTGCTTCTCATCCATCCCGCGGCCTCTGGGCATCAGCTGTCGAGAGCTGGCCTCGGGTCCCGCTTCCACCGGCTTCGCGACTCGGTGATGCCTCTGGATCTCGCCTGGTCTGTTCCAGAACCTGAGGTCCGTTTTCCGATGCTTCACTCATCTCACTCTCCCCGCCTGAGTCCCTGTCTTGGTGGGCCTGCTCCAGGTCTGCCGTGTCCATCGAAGTTTCTGTCTCTGGGTAAGTCACCGTTATCCGTAGTCTCGCCATCACACCGTCCCTCCTATAGCGTCTCTCCGCTCGATCTCTCGCCTCTGTAATCGCGTTTTGCAGTTTTCCATCGGTCCGCATCTCCACCTCTTTTGCTCCCTCCACGTTGATCTTAAGTAGCACCTCGTCTCCACCGTCGTAGTTGAGTATAACGGTGATCCAGGGCCCTTCCACGGACACGGGCTTCCAACGGATTTGGTGATACCAGTACCCAGGCCTATAGCCATGCAGCACCATGGCTAGACCGTACCCAATGGCCTCAATGCAGTGCTAGGTCACTAACACAGTGATGCTCGCCGGAAAGCCCAGGCCAGTGCCTTCTTCTTCCCTCAATAGCCAGGGCCAGCGCTTAGTTTGCATGCTCTGCACGCAGGGATGCCGGTCAGGCTAAGCTCGAATATCATCGAGAATCAGCAACTCAGCGTATTACCGCTACTCACACTTGCAGAGCGGCAATGCCCTCTTCACCCATCCTTTTTAGAAGCCCAAGATCAGCCCCTGTCTTATAGAACTCAGAGGGGACCGAATCCACGTGTCCCAGCGGGAAACAAACAAAATTTTTAGAATCACTTCCCTTTTTCCTTTTCTTTAATTTTTGTAATTATAAAAAAAAAGACTAGAAATAGTAACGAAAACAGAGCCAGTACCCCAAGACAACCGAGCTTAGCACATTGGTCCCATAACGGGATACTATCTGGCAAACACTCTGCTCTAAAAGGGGAACACCAGACTACAGCTACCGGGTGCCCATGTCCGATGGCAAGGAGGGGGTTTATGACCCTCTGTAGGGGGTGATATTCCTCCTACCAACGCGGCCACGGGTGCTCCTCTTTTTGAGGTCCCACAGCGCGACACTCAACAAAACAGGCTCGGTGCATGTTGTATGTGAGGGATCGGCCCACTTAGGCCGCACAACATAACTCAAGCCCGGATTTTCAACCGTTGGCTTTCCTACGAAATGACAGACTGAAAGGTAAACCGAATCTGACAATCGAACGAAAAGGGAAACTGAAGAATAATATCAATAAACTATAACAATAATAATAATAATAAATGCAGAAAGGAACGGACGGCATTTCAAAATCTCTCCGCGCAGCAGCCTCGACCGAACAGCACCCTGCGTTCACGCACAAATCTAAAACCCAACTTTCGCCCTCATCCCTTTTCTTTTCTTTTTCACGCACCCACTGACACCTTTCCAGGCCCCACTGTATCTGTCCTCTAACGCAGCTATAGGGGTCCTACCGCGCGGAGCTTAGATGCGCAGACCCGATATAGGTGATATACGAAGGGTTGGGCCTGGCTAGGCCACAACACCACCGCCTGAACTCGAAACCCGAACCGTCGGTCTCCCTACAAAGTGACGGGACCCAAGAAAAAGAAAAATCCTCGCCTCAAAAGTGGTAAGTCAGTAATAATAATTGTAATAACAATAATAATAGTAATAATAAAGTAAAGAGAAAAACTCAACGGTATAGTGACCCGATATCACTAGATTATCCCAGATTAAAGCAACGGTCACGATCTAAGTGCAGTTCCGACGCTCAGCTTTCCTTTTTACCCCTGCACATTTTATTTTCTTTTATCCCTTTATCAACCTTTTTCTTTTTGACAATGACATGTCCCATGTGCCTATCCCATAACCCTGTACAGGGGCGCTTGGCGCGTAGTTGAAAAGACTGAGCCAGTCTTCTCACCTCCGCGTCCCAAGGCGAACCCGGATGTTACCACGGCCATAGGCCGGTTGTGCTCTGCTGTACAGCAGGGCGCCAAGTCTGCGTGGACCAATGGAAGTCCTTTGGCGCACCCCTTTTGCTGAGGACTACGCCACCGGGACCTGTCCACGCTAAGAAACGGTCCAGGTACCAGAGCAGGAAACAAGTACTATGCAGGGACTTAGGACACGAGAGGGTCGGGACACCGTGCCCTCCGACAACGTGCATTAGAGATTTCGGTACTGAAATCACACTTGCGGATTTTAAGATTTTACTTGGTCATTTTTCGAAGTTATATCTGCATGTGCGCTCTGAGTTTTGTTATCAAAATCTCACTCCGAGATTTTGATATTTTAGTTAGCCGTTTTTTAAAGTTAAAAGCCGAAATTTTGGGATTCTACTTCGGCGTTTTTGAAAATTATATATGCATGCGCTCGGGATTTCGGTCGCGAAATAAATCGGACTGCAATTGTGAACATACCTAAATTAATCTAAGTACAATCACATTTAAAACTCAGTAGAATAATTTTCTCTATACTAACCCCTCTTGTGTGTATGGCAGTCTGCAACTAACCATGTAACCTTCTATTGGGTTCACAGCCAAAGACTAGCACCCAAGGTATTTGACTAAAATCAATTATTAGGATCCGACCTAGCCTATTTAGGTATTGCATTTATAGACCATACAACTAGGGATGAGGGAGACTCAAACTATTATTGGTACGGTGGCTTAATTTTGGGGAACTGCTTCGGACAAATTTGGCTGAGGATAGATGTTCCGGGCCATGGGTGTGGGGCAGGGTTCCGAGAGGTAAGGGAAATGTGAACTGTTATTGTTGAGGGGTTGTTCCGGGTCATGGGTGTGAGGTAGGGACCCTCTCCTTGGTTCGATCCCCGGACCTCTAGTACTGGGGGCTTTTGTGCGGCTGACTGGGATTTGGATTTTTTAGGGTCTAGCCTTTGTTGTTTTTCTTTTGTGTTTTGTTTTTGGAAATGCGCGGCTGATGGTACGTATGTGGACCGCTTCTTGGTTTAGGACGGACTCCTGGTACGACTTAATTTCGTGACTGGTGATCGTTGTAGGCTAAGACAGACTTCAGTGGATTGACTGGCCATCTGATCCATAGTGTTAAATTGAGGTGTTCGAGACGTCAACAGTACCATTCGCGAAGACCCCTGATGATTCCGATGCGGCGGCCGGATGAAACGCGTA